ATATTGATCATGATCATCTTGATCGAATTTTTTTTTTTTTTTTTTCTTTTTTTTGATCGAAGTAAGATCGAATTTGATGGAACGTGTTATTCGAACGAAATAACGTTTTGAATTGATAAATATATACATATGTATGTATAAGTATGTACATTATCGCTTGTTTCTCTCACTGTATGTCGTCATTTCCAGACCGATTACGCTGAAAACATCGTTTTACGGAAATCGAATTAGTTTCAGGAAACAACGAGATGGGCGTCACGTCCTCCCCTTGAAACGAATTCTGTGAATGTTTCCAATTATATTTCGAGGGCCTCGAGCAATTTAGTATTGGATTTCGTGGGGTGAACGTGACAAATTTCTCTCGTCTCCTTCTATTTCATACAAATATAGAATATTCTTATCTGTATATCAGTTTGAATAAGGAATTCTTCGTTTGTTGGCACGAAAGAAACTATAAGCGTAATAATTTAGCTAGTTTTAACGAATACTTTTGTCATCTATTAAGTTAATTTCCTTTTTTTTTTTTTTTTAAATTTTTATTTTATCTTGGAAATAAGATTTCGATCGAGAAAGCTTGAAGAAGGTATCGTATCTTTATTTATTTTCTTGTTTTTTCAAAATAATATTCTGGCAATACGAAAATGTCGGTAGTGGAATATAATTAGATTTGAATTATGATGTATTTACAATATTTGTCGGGTTATTCTAATATTATTTATGCGAAATAAACAAGATGAGAATGTGGATCAATGTTAAATAATATTAGTTTATATTAATTTTTCCTTATTTTAAAAATAAATAAAAATTACCTCGACTCGAATCTTGTTTTAATGATGAAATAAAACTTTGAAAAAATAGATATCGTCACTAAATTAAATACCACAAATAATAAAGAATTATTAATTGTTTCCTATTAATTCGAAATTAATATTCAATTCGAAATTGAGCAATGAGAATTTCTGCGAATTCGAGTAATATCTGAAAGTATCTGAAAAAGTATTGAATAACAATACAACGCAAATATTGAAATGCAAGATAATCAAATACAAAATGACAGAACATAAAACTCGTTACATATCTCGTAAACAAGGTCAAATAAGATATACAGTCAGTCAAAAATGTCTTGGTACACCTTGCGCGAGCTCGAGTAATAAATCATGTTATCAAGATTAATAAAAATTCATTTTAAAACTATAATATTCAAAATCAAAATAAATATTTTAAAATGTTTAAAACGACTTAATACGTTAAATCGAATATATCCAATGAAATTAAATTTTTTTTTTTCTTTTTTACAAGAAAATTTTATCT